GGCCGGGCGCCGTCCTCCCGAGCGCCAGCCGCAGCCTCGCCTCCGACTCGGCCTCCGGGGCCGCGTCGGACCGCGGCGTGCCGGGTCAGGTGGACTTCTACGCGCGGTTCTCGCCGTCGCCGCTCTCTATGAAGCAGTTTCTGGACTTCGGTGAGTGCCGCCCGCCGCGGGCCTTTGTGCGCCGTCGGGGCGAGGACTGCGGCCGCGCCCGCCGCCCTCGCCGCTTCCCGGCTGCTCCCTGGGTGCTCCCTTCCTCGCTTGGGGGTGCTGGCGCGCGCAGGCCCGGCCGGTAACGGGACGTGTGGCTTTTTACCCTGTGTGGTCGAAAAATAAACCCGGAGGGATACGGGCAGAATGAAGTCCCCGCCGTAGCTCGCGCGTGTGCAGGTGAGCGTTCGGGACCGGGCCCCTCAGGAGAGGCTGGACTCCGCCGGGAGCCTGACTGGCGTTTCGGTCTCCGCGGAAATGGTGGTAAATGCGATCGTGCCAAGATTGCGCAGAAGTGGCACGCCTGATGATGGGCAAGACAAGTTTCCGCTAGCCCGGTGTTTCTTTAGAATGCCCTTCATTGACAGCGCCCTGGGAGTGTTTACCATCAGCAGTACCTCCTTTTCCGCAGCTGCACGGAAGTCTTGAGCGTGCATAAAGTGCACGAGTACAAGGGGCTGTGGGGTTCACCAGTTTGCACGTTGATTTTCTCTGGAAGAGATTGCAGGAAGAACTGCAGAGGTGGCTTTGACTTGGACTTCTCACATGGGGGTTACGGGGGTGGGGGTGGGGTAGTACGAGTAGAAGTCGTCTTCTCCGTGCTGAGTGCTGTCAGGTCACTAACATTGCTAGTGGCTTGAAAGACTACAACACCGTGGCAAGCAGCTTTATTTTAAAACTGTGGATTATAGTGGCAAGGTTTGCGTTTTTTCGTTTTTGATTTTTGCTTTTTTTTTTTTTTTTTTTTTAGCTCCAAGTTCTTGATTTTGTTTTTACTTTAAAATGAGCATAATGTGGTGACGGGTGAAGTTTAACCTGTTCATAGGCATGCCATTAAACTTTCTCAAAAGGATGTTTTTCTCCATTGCCATAATTCCTCTATTGATGGACTAGTTTTTGCTAAGGTTGTCTTTGATAAAGCAACAAGACTGATTTAGTCTAAAATGGGTTGGTGAAATAATGAGACTTTTTGGTTTAGTTTTAAGTGAAGTTGCCATGTACAACTCACATCTAGTCATCTTAGCATGCAGATACAGAGTGGAGAAAGGACCAGCGGGGTGCCTTTTTAGCAATCAGAGGATTGATAGGTATTCCTTGAAGGTAGTTGAAGAACAGGAGTTAGTTTTTTTTTTTTTTTTTTTTTTTTTTTTTTTTTTCTGTTTCTTGAAAGCTTTTCTCTGCACTTATTCTTTGTGAAAATCAGTAGTAGTGGTGCTACTATACGGCTGGCGAATTTTCCTTTGCAGTGTCTTACGTAGGTGTTCACTGTTTATAAACCTAGTGTTAGGAAACAGACTTTTATTTTTAATGATAGAAGCAATAGGATACATAGGACAGGCTTTTTCTACTATTACTGCTCCCTGAGTCTTACTCAAACATATTCAAGTCATCTTAGTTTTAAGACAGATTGTAAGGATGGAAGTGAGGGAAACAAGAGGCTGGAGTCTTTTTTTTTATTTTTTCCTAGTAATATTGGGCATTGAATCCAGTATCTTTGCACTACATACCCAGTTTCCACCCCCTCTTAGTTGTTTCTTTCTTTCTTTTTTTGCAGAACCAGGGATTGAACTCAGGCCCTTGTGCTTGCCAGGGAAGAGCTTATTCTGCTGAGCCATCTCCCCAGCCCGTACATTTTTTAGTTTTTGACTGAGTCTGAGTTGGTTAGGTGGGGCTGAAATGTGTGATCCTCCTGCCCCAACTTTTCAGTGTTGGGCCTACAGGCATACACCTGTAACTGAGCTCACCATGCCCAGCTGAGCATATCTTGATTGCCATCAGGAATTGGATTTGTTAGCAGGAATTGGGAGGTCATGGTGGATTTACATTAATTTGAGAGATTGGTTTATCTCATCTCTCACCTCTTTCAGGCCGGGATTTAGGGTTAGGGTTAGTACCTTTGCCTCCTGTTCTCTTCTGGTCATGGTCATACCTCTTTGGATTTGTTGGGTTGTCTTGCCCTGTGTTTCTGCCACTTTCCTGGTTTCTGTTGCACTGACTTCTACTTAACCACTTTTCCCATTGTTTTGGTTTCAGGATCAGTGAATGCTTGTGAAAAGACCTCATTTATGTTTCTTCGACAAGAGTTACCTGTTAGATTGGCAAATATAATGAAAGAAATAAGTCTTCTTCCCGATAATCTTCTCAGGACGCCATCCGTTCAGCTGGTACAAAGCTGGTAAGATTCCCATGTCTTGTTTACAATTTCAGTGAAACTGGACTTTCCTCAAGGTTAAAGTGAGTACTTTTACTTTTCAGTAGAAATCTTAAAAGTAATGGCTGTAATCCTCCGCCGTGTGTGTGTGTGTGTGTGTGTGTGTGTGTGTGTATCTAGTCTTAGCCTATGTATTAGTTAAGACTACTCTCTTAGTTCTGACTTTACCACTTCTTAGTTTTGTAAAAACCAATCAGATCTACATAAAAATATAAACAGTAGATGTAAGATTTGTAACAAATCTACAATGATGCTTTTTTTTGTGTATGTGTGGAACCGGGGATTGAACTCAGGCCCTTGTGCTTGCCGTGGAAACGCTTATTCCACTGAGCCATCTCCCTGGCCCAATGCTATATTTTGATATAAGAAACATATCTACCATTTGATGGTGGATATTTGTATAAATTACCTTTAATGACTCAAGAACCCTGCTCTGTAGGTAGCATTAACTCAGTTTTACAGATGAGGAAACAGAAGCACCTGAAGATTAAGTCCTTTGCCTGAGTAGTAGTGTACACCACTTACATTGGAGCTAGGATCTAGACCCATATTTGTCTGTGTCTGTTATACCATATGTCATGGGATTGATGAAATGTATTCAAGACTGTACGTATTTTTAATAACTAATTCAGTTTAGTTTAAATTCAGTTTATTTTATTGAAGTGTATCTTTTTATAAATCACAAAAGTTAAAACTTTTTTCTCTGTTCTAATATGTATTTATTCTACGGTGTAATGAGTTCAGTGTGGTATATAAATATGTACATACAGCATGCACTGATCATATTTGCCTATTTTTTAAGGCAGAAGTTACTAAAATAGTATGGACAGTGGTTTCTCATAAATTATAAGAAAGGTCTTAAGAATGGGCATTCTTGTGTGGTTGCCTGTTTACAGCTGTTATAAATGCCATTACATTAAAAGGTATTCTTTTAAGCACTATAAAATTAAAAGAAAAAAGCTGGTTAGTCTTACATGGAAAAATTTTACTAGAAGATATTTCTTAGTTGTGATTCATGGAGATGTTATTTTCCTTTTGTGGGTGGTATATATAAAGTTTGTGAGAGAAACTGTTTTAACATCAGTTTAAAAAATGAGCGAGAGAAATAGTATGACTCTATACGTGTGAGAATCAGATGCTATCTAGTCCAAGTATGGAGCAATTATAAATGTGGCTTAGGTGAGACGCATTGTTTCAGAGATTGAAGGAATATAAAAAAGATAATACAGTTTTCCGAGTATGTTTTTTCCAGTTTGTTAAAATTATAAATAGCATGTGTTTTTAAAAATCTGATCTTGAAGAGTAGAGCATACTTTTTCTTGCCTATAAAGAGTTAAGTAAGGGTTAGACTAGAACCACAGCTATTAGAGTCGCTTGACTTGAAATGCAGGGAGACATACTGCTTGTTAGAAATAGCTTTCCATACCAAATTTGGCTTTACAGATTTTAAAATTACTTTCATTGGTCCTGGATTCCTGATCAGTTAGGACAGTTGTAGATAAAGGGCTTACAGACAAGCCAGGCAAGAGTTATACTGTTGAAGAAGGTAACAGAATGGTTGGGAATTTTTAGCATTGTCCCCTGTAATAGCTGGATGACCTTGAGAAAGTCACTTAGCCTTTTGTTATGTTTTATCTTTTTTTTAATGTATTTTATTTTATTTATCTGTATGTATTTAGTGTAGTATCTACAGGGTCTCACTACACAGATCGGGCTCTTAGTGATCCTCCTGACTGCTGGGAATTACAGACCTGCACCACCACGCCCAATCTCAGTCCCTGTCTCAGCAAGCCCCAGGGGTGGGGCCAGCATGGCACACTGGGGATCAAACCCCCAATCCCTGTGCCTGCCTAAGCAGGCGCTTTAGTCTGCTGAGTTATCTGGCCGGGCCTGGTTGTGTTTTTTCTACCTTGCATTGTTACATCAGAAAGTTGCATATTTATTGGATTGTCTTTTTTTTTTTGCGGTGCTGAGGATTGACCTTGTGCTTGCCAGGCAAGTGCTTATTCTACTGAGCTACCTCCCTGCCCCACCCTTTTCTTTTGTATCTTAGGGAAGGGTCTATAGGGTGTTCAGGGTCTTACTACTAGATCAGACTCAGTGATCCACCTGTTTACAGCCTCCCTAGAGCTGGAATTACAGGTGTGTGCCACCACACCCGGTCTCAACTGCTGTCTCAGCACGCCCTGGGGGCAGGGCTGGCATGGTAGGCCCTGGAGATTGAACCCCATGTACCTCTTTAATCAGTTGAGCTATTTGACTGGCCCACTTCATTTTTTTAAAACCTGATTTTGAGCTGAAAATAGTGTACATCAAAAGTTCTTTCTTTGTGCTTTGCTACCTTGGATTGTAAGGTGCACTAGACACCTACATTTTCTTGATTATTGTACTTTTATTCAGTTCTGTTTAAAAGAACTGTATGATAGATTGCAGGCTTTCAATAAATCTTCACTGACTAGACATCTAAAACTGTGCTCCATTGACTAGACACCTAAAACTATCTAAAACTATGCTTTTAAGATATAAACTTTAACACCTCCCCCACTCTTAAAATTTTGAGAATCACTGAGTTGCTGAGGCATGGCTCACCCTCATGATCCACCTGCCCCCTCACCTCCCCTTGCTAGGATTATGGCTATGCGAGATTAAAGTTAGATTCTTTATTTTATTTTATTTATTTATTTTTTTGTCGGACCCGGGGATTGAACTCAGATTCTTGCGTTTGTCAATCAAGCACTTATCCTACTGAGCCATCTCCCCAGCCTCCTAAAGTTAGATTCTTAGAGCCAGGTGAACTGGCCTCCTCATTTTACTGAGAGTGAAAAAGACATTTGTCTAAGATGATACAGTGGTGACAGATTGAACTTTCATAATATTTGTTTATATATACACATATATACCATAAAATGTAGTAGAGTTTCAAAATTCTATTTAAAAACTAGGATAAAGAGTTTAAAACTCTTACATCAGATTTGACCTATATACTTTTATTTTTATTTATTTATTTATTTTTGTAGAACCAGGTTTGAACTCAGGCCCTTGTGCTTGCCAAGCAAGCACTTATTCTACTGAGCCATCTCCCCGGCCCCAGATTTGA